GGAAGGGGAGGAGGGGGGGGGAGGTGGGGGAGGGGGGGGGGGGGGGGGAGGAGGGCTGGGGGAGGGGGGAGGGGGGAGGGGGGAGGGGGGAGGGGGGAGGGGGGATGGGGGGAGGGGAGGGGGGGAGGGGGGAGGGGGGAGGGGGGTGGGAGGGGGGGAGGGGGGGGAGGGGGAGGGGGAGGGGGTGAGGGGGGGGGAGGGGGAGGGGGAGGGGGAGGGGGAGGGGGAGGGGGAAGGGGGAGGGGGGGGGAGGAGGAAGGAGGAAGGAGGAAGGAGGATGAAGGAGGACGGAGGGAGGAGGACGGAGGACGGAGGACGGAGGAAGAGGAAGAGGAAGGAGGAAGGAGGAGGAGGAAGGAGGGAAGAGGAAGGAGGAATGAGGAAGGAGGAAGGAGGAAGGAAGGAGGAGGAGGAGGAGGAGGAGGAGGAGGATGATGATGAGGAGGAGGAGAGGAGGAGGAGGAGGAGGAGGAGGAGGGGAGGGGGGGCAGGGGGAGGGGGAGGGGGAGGGGGAGGGGGAGGGGGAGGGGGGGGGGAGGGGAGGGGGGATGGGAGGGGGAGGGGAAGAGGAGGAGGAGGAGGAGGAGGAGGAGGCGGAGGAGGAGGAGGAGGGAGGGACCGTAGCCGTTGGCTCAAGGCCGTTTCCTTCTCTGGTGGTCTCGCCTCCATCCGGGAGGGGTCAGGGCTCAAGTTTTCTGCCCTCAGGAGGGCACCAGTTTTGTACAGATTACGGACTCACACCAGACCAGTGCTCCAGTCAGACATGGTCCGAGAAGGAGAATCAGTCTGGTGGTGCCCTTGCGGACGCTACAACAAGTTACGCTACCAGTCGTGCCTGTGTGGGACCAGCGTCCGCAATCAGGTCATGGGTGGCAAGGGCAAGGGCAAGGGAGCCCCGCGCGCCAGAACTCCTGGTCGTCGAGGGGAAGAACGTCGCAACCGTCTTCACGACAACTCGATGCAGCAGAACACGGCACAGATCCAGCAGGTTCTAGCCAAGATTCTCCCAGCCACCAAGTCCGTCGCGGAGGAGCACGAGAGGTATGTCTCCCCACCCGAGGACACCAAGAAGTACCCAGTCTTCCGCGACCCGCTCAAGTTTCGCATGCAGGCTCTGGGCTTTGCTGTGTACGCCGCCCAGCAAGCAGACGCAGAGGACGAGACAGCGGTCGAAGAGATTGCAATGATCAAGTACACGTTATCGGCGCTCAACCCGCTCCCCCAGCAGATATTGGAAGCAAAGACGAGGTTGCAGCGCACAGTAGACAGGCGCAAGGGGCTCCAGACCAAGATCGCGGAGATGGAGGAGTCGCTTGCATCCCTGGACGACGAGATCTATGCCATCGAGGATGGCATCCAGCAGCTCGAGCAGGCGCTGGAGGACGAGGAGATGATTGTCGAGGAGGACGATCAGCAGCCACCACCTCCATCTGGAGGCGGCCAAGCGGAGGCGCTGCCCAAAGCCGGGTCCTGGGGGGCTCCCCATCACGGGCCAGGCATGGGACAGCAGCCCCAGCAGGCGCCAGGCTTTCCGCCGAAGCAGCCGCCGCCCCAGCCGCCGCCCCAGCAAGTGCCAGGCTTTCCGCAACAGGCGCCGATGCATGTGTCAGGAGGTGTGCCACCACCGCCTCCCATGCCGCATCAGATGGCGCCGCCAGACTACAACCCGCAGCTGGCTCAGATGCTCTACAATCTCGTCTCCAACCAGAACAGGATGGACCAGGCCATGGGTCAGATTGTTGTTGCTATAAACAACCTGGGCTTGGGTCAGCCAGCTGCTGGCGTGCCTCAGGGCATGGCTCAGGCACCGAGGACTTTTCAGACAGCCGCGGGCCCAGTTCAGCAGCCTGCAACATCTTCGGCGGAGACGGAGGCTCACCCGCCTGGACTGCCAGCAGCTGGCACCCATGGGTACGGTCAGCCGCCAACCTTCACCTTCGGTCGTCCAGCCATGAATTGGAGCGACCCGAGGCACCCAAACCACAACCAGTACCTCGTGGAGAAGGCCGCCCAGGAAGCGGTCGACAAGGGGCCGAAGGCCACGCCCACAGAGAAGGACGAGCCCAGGACACCAACGCCAGTCCGAGGTACAGCTACACCGATCTCGACGACACCGCCAGCCAACTCCCTGGAGAAGCAGTTCCACGCAGCGATGGCATCGGGCGAGACCATCCACGTCCCATCGTCAGCAGAAGAGGCGGCGTCAGAAGTTTTGGGCGAGCCCTTGGTCTCGCAGTATCCGTCACCTACACAGGCATGGGGGCCAGCTTCTGCCCTGGCGGAGGCCACGCCCTATGTGGAGATGCTGGCGCCCACTCAGTGCATGGCCTCCCAAGGCGAGGCGATCCCAGGTCCAGCGACCTCGTGCACCTCGCCTCTCACGGCATCGACAGCGGCCTCAGACGGCCCGTCACCAGGCGCAGCCAGCTCCGCGCCCTTGAGCAGCCGAATGGACAAGAGCCGCTCGCCGCCACACAAGCTACAGAAGACCGAGGACTAGACTCGGAACAGGGTGAACTGCATCTACCACGTCAGCGACGACGACTTCATTGGGGATCCGTTCTGACCAGGCCTTTTGTCTCAGGTTCGAGGGTATTCGTTTCAGCCCTCAACTCTCAGCAGCAGCCTAGCAGGTCGATTTTAATTAAAAGTCCGTCGCAGCAGCATCAGTCTTTTAAGCATCCTTCCTCCCCCCCCGCTGTCAGAGACCATGGTGCGGTCGACGCGTCCTTGTTGTGTAAACGCGAGCTCGCTCCCGTGCTTCAGTTGCTGTCAGTTAGCCTCTTGCGTTTATGTGACGCACTCTCTTACGCTGCCTCGCACTTGATTTCGGTAAGTTCGAGGCATACAGTTTCATGTGTCGCTAGGCCTAGTGGCCAAGATCTGTCACCACCACCCTGTGGCACTCCCCCTCCTGGAACCCCCTCTCCTCGTCGTGTCAGGCTTTCTCTTGAGCACACTTTGTTCAATCCTGGGGACAAATCGGTGAAGTGCGACTTGGGAGACGGTGACAGACTCCTCCGTGCTATTCGTGATAGTGAACCTCTGTTGCTGGACGCCACGATGACCAGCGACCATTACCATCCAGCTGCTATCATGGCACTGGAAGTCTCCGACAGGGCAAGCGACATCGGAGGCAGCATCAGCATATACACAGATGGGTCCCTTAGGAAGAAGGACGACTATACTTCTTGGGCATTTGTAGTTACTAGCATCCAGGGGGACATGCTTAACTACCACGGGCACCTCAAGGGGCTCACGGGCCTATCTGTACCTGGGGAATCCCTTCCTACTCTGGAATCCAGTACCTTCTGTGAGCTCTTGGGAATTGTTTGGGCCCTGGTCTGGGTCTATCAAGGGCTGTCCCTGGGCACCATAGGGACCAATACCATCGTCAAGATTTACTCGGACAGCACCAGCGCTCTGGGACTTGTGCAGGGCTTGTTCGTTCCTACGGCTTTCAGAGATACAGCTGCGGTCTCGCAGCATCTTTTCGCCACCGTCCAGGCTGCATTATGCTTGGCAGTTTACCATGTCTCTGCGCACTCGGGCAACCCCTGGAACGAGCTTGCGGACGGGATCGCGAGCGATCAGGATGTTGGCCCCAGCCCCCTCCCTAGCTCGATCGTTCAAGATCTTTACCATACCGTTGATCTGGATTGGGCCTGGATCACTCACCTCGACGATGATCGTCGCTCGGCCTACCCCCTCGACGGTTCGGGTCGTTTGTCTCTCCCCCTCGTTCCCCACGGATGTCGTGAGGATTGGATCGGATCGAGCACTCCTGAGGCCCCCAAGGTCAAAAGATCGATCAGATATGACTTCTCAGTTGTCAGTTTCAACGCCCTCACTGCTAAGGAAGACGCTGTTTCCCTCGCTCGTGAAGACGAGGCAGACTTAGGTTCAGCAGCAGGACACTCGGCAGTCCTGATGCGGCAGCAGTTCGCTCACATGAACGTCCTCCTTGCTGGCATCCAGGAGGGCCGTAACAAAGAAGGATATAGGCTTGCCAACAATTTCCTTATGTTTCGTGGCCCCTCTCACAACGGGAACCTTGGGTGTGAAATCTGGGTTAATGGGTCACTCCCCTACGCTCGTGCTTGCGACCGGGAGTTCTTCCTTGAGAAGAAACACTGTCTGGCGGTCCACGCTTCTGCCAGATGCCTCATCATGAAAATCAACGCCCCTCTGTTCAGGATAGTGGTGGCCTCCTGTCATGCCCCCCACAATGAGGAGCCGTTTACATCCCGTCAGGCTTGGTGGAACCACCTGAGCGAGCTATTTTTGCGCTTCAAGGTGGGCTGCTGTTTCATTGATGCCAATGCCAGAGTTGGAGTCAACTCGACCACTTCGAGATGTGGAGATCAGGGTTTTCAGCAGGAGCCTGACAGCTCCGGAGGTCTCTTTTTGAAGTTTCTTGAGGAGGTCAACCTTAACGCGGTCAATACGCTCTTACCTAACCTGGATGGCCCCGAGAAGGCCTATACCTGGACAGCTAACAATGGGAATCAGCACAGGATTGACTATATTCTGATGTCTGACTACTTCTACAAAAACATGGTGTCGGTTAACACTTGTTTGGATTTCGACATTCAGAGGGACAAGCCAGATCATTACCCGGTTGTTGGGGCCTTTAGGGCTCTCCATAACAAAGATATAGCGCCTCCCAGGGATACCATCAAGAGTGAGCTCACTAAGGACCCCCACCGACGCGAAGCTTTCGCTATACTGCTGCGAAGCGCCCCCATTGTTCACTGGAATACGAATATTAATGAGCATTATCAAGTTCTGGTTTCGCACATCATTTCGTCTGCAAACATTGCCTTTGGTACCCCCGCTTCAGTTCCCAATAAGCCGTACATTGACGAAGCATTGCTTGCAGTAATTCAATTCAGGAGGCGTGTCAGGCAGATTATTCGTTCGAGCAGGAGAAAGGATTTCAAGGCCTTCATTTTGCACTGTGCATTATGCTCGGCGGACATGCTTGACCTGTCAGCACTGCCCGACAGGATTGCTTACCTCGCCATAGAGTTCGTCACCTTGTCTGCTAACTATGGGAGGGGATGTGCTAGTATGGAAAACATCATCACTGCCATGGGCACGTTCCTCCAGAGGTCCCAAAAGATCCTTCGCAAACACATCAAACAAGCTAGGGTCGACAAAATTAACAACCTCGGCAAGGAGCTAAGTGAGCAAGAGTTGGCTGGTCAGGCCTCATTGGAATGGAGCACGCTTCACACCCTGCAGAGGTTCGGTGGCAAAGCAAGTAGGTTCTGCTCGGACGGCCTCCCGATGCGTATCGACGATCAAGGCAAGGTTTTGGACAGCGACAAGGCTATCGCTGACGAGACGCTCCGCATTTTCGGGGCCAACGAGCATGCCAATATTCAGAAGCTTACGGCCCTTTGCTTGGACTATAACGCTCAGGTTAATACGGGCACCCCTGAGGAAATCAAGCTTGAAAATCTTTCCAGTCTCAGGGCCCTCATGATTTCCCTCACTAGGTCGAAGAAAGGTAAAGCGGGGGGCCTCGACGGAGTCATTAATGAGCTTTACCAAGCTGCTGTACCGGAGACGGCTGCCATGCTTTTACTTTTGTTCCTCAAGATGCAGATGCTTTGTCAAGAACCGTTATGGGCCAAAGGAGGCCTGGCTGCGAGCATTTATAAAAAAGGTCCCTGGGTCGATCTGCACAACTATCGGCAGATTTTACTCGGATCCACGGTCCTCAAACATCACCATGCTTTCGTTCGCCGTGCTTTTGTTCAGATCGCCACGCAGCTGATTGGCGAGTGCCAGATGGGAGGCTTACCGCATCGAGGCACGGACCTCGCCTACCTCAGCCTGAGCCTGTTTCAGACCATCTGCGAGCAGATGGGCCTTTTCTCCATCATCCTTTTCTCTGACCTCACCCAGGCTTTCTACTCTGTCATCCTCCAGTTTGTCTCCTCCCTCAAGGGTCAGACTCAAGACTTGGAGGCCATCTTGGACGATTTGAAGGTTCCAGAATGCTTGACTCCCTTCTTAGAGGCCGCTGTCACTTCCCCCAAAATCCTGGACGATTTTGTGGACAAGCACGTTCACTACATGGTTGCGGAAACCTTCAGGACTCCTTGGTTCGAAGTCAAGGGCTCTTCGGCCCTGGCACAAAGCAGGTCTGGTACCCGCCCTGGGATGCCCCTGGCCGATTTTATTTTCAATATCAGTTTCAAACCCGTTCAGGACGATATACACTCTCGGTTAGGTGCTGCAGGCCTTCGGTTGCAGCTGGACAAGCTTCCAGATGCCAAGCGTGTTTTTCGAGCTGCAGACGGCAGCCAAGACGCTACAGCTGCGCAAGGATCGACCTTTGTGGACGATCTCATTACCCTGGCAGTAATTCAAGACAACCGACTATGGCGACCAGCTGTGGAAAAAACAGTGGAGATTGTGCATTCAGCAGTTCGAGCTCGTGGTTTTGTACCTAACTACGGGCCTGGCAAAACTGAGATCATGGTTGCGTTTCGTGGCCCACAGGCCAACAAGTGTCGTGCTGAGCTTTACCACGGTCCTGCTCCCAGGTTCAAGATAGACAAGTACGACCTATCAGTGCCAGTTGCAGTATCCTATAAGTATTTGGGCACCATGGTCGATAGGTACGCTAGCATGGGCCCAGAGGTCTCCTACAGGATTAATCAACAAAATGGCGCCCTCAGCACTCTCAAGAAGCACGTGTTCAGGAATCCCAATATCGAGCCTAACACTAAAGTCAAGTACGCTAAGGCCCTATGTTCCTCGCGGCTCCTCTACAACAGCGAGATATGGTGCGGACTTACGATTGCTCAAAGGGATCGCCTCGACAACGCCCACTCCCTCCCCTTCCGTTATGCCACAGGGTGTTTTAATGCTAATCCCGTGTTGGACAAAGAGCCAGCAGCCAAAGCACTGAAGTTGGCCAATTCTGTTCCTGCGTCTACGCTCATTCGCCTAAGGAGAATTCGTTTGGTCTCGAAACTAGCTCGTTTTGCCCCCAACATCCTGAGGCATATGTTGGACCTGGCCCTGCACTTCTGTGCTGGTTGGGCGGGTGAGCTCATCCGAGACCTTGGATGGTGGAGCGACTTCCTGGACCTCCCTGGCCATCACAGGCCAATCGGTGATTTTTCCTGGTGGATTTACTGTTCCCTGGACGGGCCCCAGTGGAAATGCTGGTGTAAAAACGTTTTAAGCTCAGTCACTCGTTACTTTGCTGATCAGGCGGATTTGCAATGCTGGCACAGCCAGATTCGCCACCTTTGCATAGATGATAATATACCCCCCCCTCCCTCGGTGAGCCTCCCTCCTCCCACCCTTATCTATCCATGTGATAACTGCGACTTTGTCGCTAGGACGCTCGCCACCTGGAAGGGCCACTGTACCAAGGCCCACCCCTCTTTAGACCCTGCCCAGGCCGTAGCACTGGGAACTGTTTGCCAGAGTTGTTGTCGAGAATTTTGGACTCATCCTCGTCTCTTGAAGCAT